CGGGGGGGGGGTGGTGCACAAAAGTCAATCTACAGTGCGGGTCAGTACATCTGAAAGCCTTTAGCACTTCAGCCAAACTCTTTGTCTCCCTCATTCACAGCTAGTTATCTCCACCGCAGGCTGCACAAAGGCAATTGGCATTATATTGTCCGCGCTGACATTAACCCCTGATAGTTTCACTGCTCTCCATTAAAGTCCTCTTTTCCTTCTCAATTACCAGTCGATTCCCACAGAGCGGGGGGGCCACACGGACCACAGAGAGATACTTAGAAACTTTCTGACAAAGACAGAAAGAAAGAAAAGAAACATAAACTGCAGCGGCGATTAGTTCCGTTTTTGTTGTCGTCTTTACTTGTTTTGTCTTCGTTTCAGACACAAAGGACTTAACAGCCCAGAGGAGGGCAGCTCCTAAGCTGCTCCTACCTGATCCCCGCCAAAATGGCAGCCCATTCACGTCCCATTTTCCACACAGTCACTCTTCGGCACTGCCACAGCTTTGTGTGGACAGAGAAATGGAAGAATGTGGAGCAAATGAATGCTAACAACAGGCTAGTAGTATAAGCACATGCAGGCCTAACATGACATGCTTTATGTGTGGACTATATCCAGGAGAGATTTTTCAGGAGGGTTAGACTGAGGTCAGCGGAATAGTTGCAGCTTTATGATAACAATGGTTGCTCAGAGGGTCAGATGGTTGTTCAGCATGTCCAGACTTAAGTCACTATCTAATCTTAAGAGGCTTGATGAAATGACTGTAGTGTCAAGCTTAGGTTTTTAGTGTTGAAAAGGTCACATAGTATTGGCGTGTGACAAAGAATTTCTTAACCTGATATCAACACTTACACAAGCACAATCATGTAATTTCCCAATTGAGTACATATTTAGACGTAACTTCTATTGACAAAAGATGAAACTGTAAGTTTAGGACTGATCACGGTTCTTATAACTTCAGAGGGTTAAGAGTTTATCTAATTCCCTAATGCTTTAAACATCCTGAGTATTTGCCATGCTTAAAATATATTTTTACACACACACACACACACACACACACACACACACACACACACACACACACACACACACACACACACACACACACACACACACAGATGTGTTACCAAATGTGTAACATCTTGCATACATGCTCACTTACATACACTGAAAAATGTAAACATTGACTTTAATTAAATGTATTATATCCACACATTTCACATAACTGTATTAGGTTAGTTTAAAGCAATAAAATTAAGTTGAACCTAATATTTTGTATTTAAACTTAATATTATTGCTTTCATCTAACCTAATACAGTTATGTGAAATCTGTTGAAATAATACATTTAATTAAAGTTAACGTTTTAGTTTTTCCAGTGTGCATGCACACCAACAGCACTGTGCACTTACACACTTGTAGTCCTTTGACTCTGAGCCACCTGTATTTGAGGACAGCGTGCAAGTCCTCAATCAGCATGTGAAGGTTCACATTTCTGTAGCCCTCACACACACACACACACACACACACACACACACACACACACACACACACACACACACACACACACTATTCTATCCAACTGCCATGCTGAGGAATGCCAGTGACTGAAGAGTCCTTGAGGCTGTCGACGGACAGGCCTGTGTGCAGGTGAGCGGGGGTCTGCTCTCTGCACACAGACCCTCCCTGCCCCCCAAACAGAAAGACCACGTGCACTCTGTCCGTCCTCACAGCCTGTTTGTGCTTTCAGACTGCAGCTATACAACAGCAGCCACTGATCAAACCTTTGTAAAACCTCTTAAGGCCCTGACACACCAAGCAGTCACCAGAGAACTCGCTGACGCCGACGCCGACTGTTGCGTCGCCGTGTTCTCCTGCGTCTTGGCCATGTGTCGCACTGGAACACACCGCAAAGACTTCAGCCGTGAGTGGCAACAACTCTCCTTAACAGCAGGCGGCGGTAGTGTGTATTTGTCATTCAAAAGAGGCAACAACCGGAAGACAGAGAGGAAGAACAGACTACGTGATATAAACAAACAACAAATAGCGTGTGCGTTCCATTTTCACTCTCGTCCATCGAAAACATGTTTTGTGCGGTACTGGAGCTATCAGCCATTGGAGTGTTGCTTGTGGAAGACATTCTCAAGCAACCGTTTCGCTTCTCATGCACTGATTCGCTAGCTGAACAGCCAATCAGAGTGATTTCTTTGTCCGACTGCCTGTGGCCGACACACGGCCGATTCAACATGTTGAATCGGCCATGCGTCTGCCATAAAAGGCCAAATAAGCCGTGTCACACCAAATTAAGTTAGGGCGACAGGGCACGCTTCGTCGTCCGACTAACGAAAACGGCCGATTTCGGCCTGGTGTGTCAGGGCCTTTACACACCAAACTGACACCAAAGAACGTCGGGACGCGTTGTCTCACGTCTCCTGCGTCTTGGCCATGTGTCGCACTGGAACACACCGCAAAGACTTCAGCCGACGGCCAAGTAGCACGTACGGACTGCGCATGCGTGAGTGGCAATAACTCTCCTTACCAGCAGGCGGCGGTAGTGTGTATTCATCATTCAAAAGAGGCAACAACCGGAAGGCAGACTGTGTGATAACTGAGAGAAGAAGAACAGACTGCGTGATATAAACAAACAACAAATAGCGTGTGCGTTCCATTTTCACTCTACAGCGAGTAGCTCATTGGGCTTTCCCGAACCTGTGTCGAGAGCTGGAGTTAAATGAAATCTCAGATTTGCCTTCTTAATAGTTTTTTTGGGAACCTCATTTCCGTTTCGCTTCTCATGCACTGATTCGCTAGCTGAACAGCCAATCAGAGTGATTTCTTTG